TTTCCCCTCCCCTGCCCTTAGCATGTGGATCTGATACGGCCCCAGCATCGCTCGAGCTGCTTTCCCAGGGAGCGATGTCCCTGCAGGCTCTGTCGTGGTGCTGTGATCACCTCCCCACTCTGGGACAGAGTTACCAGGGCTCATCTCCAGCCTCATGCCTGTTTGAGGTGTGTTAGCAAGAGCTGCGGGATTCTGCGTCTTCCTTCTCCCCTCTCTTCCACACACTGAAGCCCCCATCTCCACAGTCCCAGGCCAGTGCAGTAGACTTGCAGGGCTTTCCCCGTGTCAGCAGCACCAGGGCTCATGTGTGCCCTCTCTTCCCCTCCCGCAGGCACTGGGACCCTGCAGAGAGCTGAGCAGCAGCCTGCTGAGGAGGGGCCGGTGATCCTGGAGCTGCAGAGGACGTGCGCAGGGAGCCTGGAGGAGAGGAGCTCCCTGACCCCTGAGCCAGGCCAAGTGCAGAAGGGGCAGGGCAGGCCTCCAAAGCAGGAGGAGAGCTCGGAGGTGAGCAGGGCACCCGGTTCACTTGTGGTGGGGAGTACAGGTGGGGCAGAGCGCAGGAGGAGCCCGGGGTGCTGTAAGGAATTTGGGGAGCAGAGAGACCTGAAGAGCATGAAGGCAGCATTGATGTAGGCTACAAATACCCCCAGCTGCCTTAACAGGAGCTCCCTCCCAAGTGCAGATACCAGGGGTGCTGGCGCAGGCAGGCCAGGTTACAGTGCATGGAGCCGGGCTCCCTGCCTCTAAACGTGCTGCCCAGGCTGCCTCAAAGGACCGAGCAAATAGCGCAGGATGAGCTGAGCTAGGACCTGCACCTGAACTGTATTCACAGCTGCATCCATGTCGCATGTCAGCTGAAGACTGGGGAGTTGTGTCCCCTTACCTGGAGGTAGTACCAGTGACTGCAGACAGGGCTGTGGGGGCCGGGAGCAGCTGGTGCAGGAGACACTGATGGTGCAACACTTGTGCCTGCAGCTCCGGGAGGTGTTTGAGGACGTGGCTGTGTTGGGGTGCCGTAGGGTTCGGTCCTCGGACCGATATTGTTCAGTATCTTCATCAGCGATTTGGACAAGGGCGGGGAGAGCACCCTCTCCAAGTTCGCTCATGATACCAAGTTATGGGGCAAAGTTAGTACACCGGAGGGCAGGGAGCAGATTCAGGCTGACCTCGACAGGTTGGATCAATGGGCAGAGAGAAATAGGATGCAATTTAATAAAGAT